TTGCAGATTCCGAAAGAATTAACAAGTGATCGAAATGAGTGGAAACGAAGGATTCATGCGGCCGACCCCAAATAAACTAGGGAATAAGGCCATGTTGTTGTTGTTGACTAACATTAATATTTTTTTTGAGGGGGGGGAGAAGTAATTAACCCTCCATTACAATGAATCCGGCTGATCATAAGTGTAACATAGCTGGTCTTTCTCTGTATGATTCTTTTTAGCCTTGACATTACAGAAAATGGAAAAACAAAAACCTTAAAGATCAGATACCCATCTGCTTCATCCAGAGAGACCATTTAACAGCTTCAAGAAACTCATCATTCCTGCGCAAAGCAGCTATCAGATTGGTGTAGGTTACGTTATCAGGCACTATCCCCTTCTCCCTCATCTCCTTCACCAACCCAACAGCTTCTTCGACCATTCCAGCAATCCCGTATGCCTTTATCAGTGTGTTATAGCTGCACAGGTCGGGACCGATTCCAGATTCCTTTAGTTCTCTCAGCACCTCTGTAACTTCATCGATCCATCCTTTCTCTCCGTAGATATTGATCATGATGTTGTAAGTGTAATGATCTGATTTGCAGCTAGTTTCTTTCATTCTCTTCAAGACATTCCTGAAGTTCTCCATTTGATGATCCTTCCCATATGCATTCAACATAGAGTTATAAGCCTCGAGGGACACTGAGAAGCCATCAAACTGCATGTTCCGAACTGCTGATGACATGTTTGTGAAATCCTTGCTCTGTCCATAGGCGGCTATGATGGTGTTGTAAGAGATGACATCCACTAGGCCGTGCCTTCTGGCTAATAAGAAAACAGACTTTGCCTTCTTGAAGAACCTGGCTTTTCCATATACATTAAGCAAGACATTGAATGTGATGGTGTTGGGAATAAACCCTCGTTGAATCATCTCATCGAAGATTCTGGTGAGTTCATCGACGGGCAGAGCACGGGAACAGCAGTTTATGACACAATTGTACATCTCTTGATCCCATATGACTCCACTCTTCCGGATTTTGTAGTACAGATGCTCGAGTTTATCCTGCAGGCCACACTTTTGATATATCCGAAGCATATCACGGAACAAATAAACATCTGGAACAATGTCCTTGTGCTTCTCTTCCATGATCTCGAGAACAGAGCATGCATCTTCCAAGGAACCCGCTTTCAAATACATCCGAACCACAATACTGAAGGCAATCCTGTCCAAGATAACTCCAGAAGATTTCATCTTTAAATACAGCTTCTCTGCTTCACCAAATTCACCCATGATAGTGTAAATGTCGATCATTGTGGATGTGATGTGCAGATTAATCTTGTCCTCAGAATCCTTCGTCTGGTTGTATATCTTCACAGCATCGTCAAGTTGACCGAACTCTTTGCACGAGCAGATCAACAAATGATACAAGTGGGCCTCAAACGCCGGGTCTCTCCACTCTTTCTCTCGCAACAATGCCAAGCAATCATCGACCATAGCATGTTTGATATAA